ACTGATATTTCCAAAACTATACCGTACGCATAATTCGTGCGTTGAGTCAAGATATATCTGAAATCACAACGTGCCAAAAATCTACATGATTCTAAGCAGTAAGCCAAACGCCGTAGCTTTCTTATAAATAATGGGTACTATTTGGCCGACAACACTTCCTTATTAATTAGTTTGAGCAGTCGCCTCCAACCACCCCTCATAACGATCCCTTGCTACTTGTGCCTCAACCTGAGTTGTAGCTTAAGCTTGAAAGCTTAGATTAATCTGAGCTTTTACGTTTTAGAAGTCATCAAAATTTCTATCTAAATGTAGACTTTTATGACAACCCATAATACAAAACTAGCACCACTACTGCAAAATAGCTAATTCGCTGAAATTCAAAAAATGTAAATTACTAACCAATTGCACTTTAAAAATAAGGATCAAACTTTAAAAAAACGTAAAATAAAATATTAAATTGTAAGCCACTAACAGAAACGTAACTTATCACTCTCTCTGAGCCTACAATCAAATAAAATCTCGATGAAATCACCAAAGTCCTATAAAGTACTCGTTTTCCTCATAAACCATACATGGAACATGTACCAACGACATCACGTAAAAGATTTTATGCGAGGTATTAGGAAGCTAATTTGATTTCAATAAAATAAATTATGTCAAAATAAGTCTATTTACTGCTTATAATAAAATCAGTCAATCGAATTTATTTGAGAGCGTCGAATAATAAGTATTTCCTAAATTTTTGTCCCGGGAATATTATTTACTCAACGTATATATGAATGCCAGAGTAATAATTTATATCACGTACATTCAATGAAAATGAAAAGAAAACTTAAATATATAGGTATATGTCATTTTCTCTCGAAAGTATTTACTAACATGATGATATAACAAATTAAAGTAATTTAGATAAAAATGGACGCCAGTCATATCTGGGAGAGATCGCCGAGAACAATGAGTATTTTATTTCATGTGCAAATCTTGCGAGTTTGAAAATTGCGGTAACTTCCACTTCAAAATAGTTTGTGAAAGAACGCGTATGTTTAAGGATATTAAATCTACACATATAATAAAATTGTAAGTAAGCCAAATCTGTATTAATATTTTTTGGAAAATCTTATTGAAATAAACATTATTATCGATACAGAGGCCGGATCTATAGGTTTTAGAATTTTTGTCTGTCTGTCTGTTACCGCATCACAGAAAAGCCACTAGAGGGATATTGATGAAAGGTGTGGTAATAGCTGCTTATTCGGGTCAAAATATAGATACTTTTTACCTCGGGAAAATATCTTATTTTTGAGAAAAAAATACAAAAACTGCAATGTAAGAGTATATTAATATGTAAAGCTTAAGAATTTGGTTTTTGGTCATCTAAACGCGGGCGGAGCCGCAGGCAATGCTAGTAAACTATATATTTGTTGACGATTTCTAAAACCTACGGAATGGATGGTATCTGTAATAAACATAAACAATATGTTTGTTTGTTTATTTACACACCTGCTATTCACTGAGATGCTCGACGATTGAGAAAAAGTTTCACTAGCGAGTATAGGTTTTCCGTGAGATATGATTATCGGTTAAAGTTTTTACTAAAAAGTTTAGTGACAGCGAAGCTAAGCGAAAACGGACTATTTTTACCGTATAATTCTAAGCGATAATCAAATTTAAAATCTACTTACTAATGACTTATAATTTGTTTTAAAGAACGTGAAAGTAAAATTCGAGGTTATAATATTAAAGTAGAAAGTATCTGTACAAATAGTACGACAATGGTGGGATGATTCTGTAAATCGGGGATATAAGGAATAGCTTCACGAATTCACTACCCGTAATAATCGTTTACAAGCATTTACCTAAACCATCTGTTCTAAGCCGTGAATTGTAGATGGTGTTACGAGTATAACCGATTAGAGAAAACGAATTCCTTAGAATTAACTTTTGAAATTAACTATTTTTTAAGAATGTGGAAAATCTTTCTTTGATATTATTATTTTATTAAAGATAAAAACATTGTGACAAAGTTAAAATAAGATTGCAATTTTATCAAATAAAAAACACGACCGATCTATCGATCTATATACGCGTAATACTGACCGGTTATAATTTTTCAAAAAATAACGTAGCTTATTGCTACGATAATAATATTTTAGTTTTTATCAAAGGAGTCATCCAGTGAGAATCATTCACTATTACCTTCATTCTCCTTTATACAAAAAATTAAATTACCTTGGTGATCTTGTACTTTAAGTAAATCTTAAGATTTAATTAACGATTCAGAGTAATAAATTTTGCTTCTAATCTTACCCATTGTAATTTAATCCTTTAAGACCGTCTGGCGTTGAGACAATAAACTTCCAAAAAGCTCAATTTAGAACACAATTCGTTGGTTCGATTCTTGTAAGAAGTCATAGTAAGCTTATCTTTCAAGTAAGAAGTTTTTTTTCCTAACAGCATTTTTGTCGCTCATGGATTAATCACTTTGGGACTACAGTTGTTTAAAGAAATATGTACTAGTGATGCGCCGCCTTTAGGTCAGCTTACCTGAGTAATCTTTTTAATGTTATTAAGTTAAAAAAGAATCTTAGGAGTCCTACATTATTTATATCTTTATATATATAATTCTTCTGTGAGTGTGTATGTCACTGAACTTCTCTCAAACGACTGGACCGATTTTGATGAAATTTTTTTTTGTGTTCAAGGGGATCTGGGAATGGTTTAGATTCACAATTTGAATAATAATTTTCATCAAAAAAATATTAAAAAAAGTTTGAAATTTTCAAATTAAAGACGTGTAGACAGGACAACGTCTGTCGGGTCCGCTAGTTAATAAAAATAAAAACAATTAATCTATTATTCTATTTCTGTGAACAACAGACCATCAAACATACATTTGAATTATTTAATGTTAAATTAAGATAATCGTGGAACATAAGTATTATAAAGCGATTTTCGAATTAAAATGTCATCGTGGTCAACATTTACACTATCCAGCATACACTTTCTTTAGACGAATATTATAATTTGCATTAGCTTAATTAAAAATTCATTGAAATTTATTCACAGTACATGGTTTTTATCTGAATGAAGTAATCTAGGCATTTTTTGTAAAAGAATTACCTCCGACTAACTAAGAAAATTTTCTTGCTTATGGAAGTGTATTGTGTTCAGCCCTTTTTAACATCCCACTGCTGGGCACGGGCCTCCCTTCAATACGAGGGGGGATCAGGACATAGTCCACCACGCTGGCCAAGTACGGGTTGCGGACTTCACATGTCTTTCGAAAACTTGCTAAGTTCTCTAAGACATGCAGGTTTCCTCACGATGTTTTCCTTCACCGTTAAGACAAGTGGTAATCATGTTGGAAATGATTCGCACATGAAAATATCAGAACTATGGAAAGTGTACATAATGTAAATGTAAAGTACATTTACATTTACAAAATAATTTTTGTCTTATGATTATATTTTACCGAATTCCCATGTTATTGTTTAAATCTTTGAAACAATGGCCAAGTTGAGCGTTAAGCGTACTCTATTCCACTTTTGATACAGAACATAAATATTCAATTTACCTTTTTCTAAAAAACAACTGTAGCAAATTATAAGTTAGCCATACGGTTATGATTTTTTTAATTAAAAGTATAATTGTTTCAGTTTCCTTTTAATCAGAAATTTTGTTAAAAACTGGCAATGTAGTTGGAATTTGTTTGTGAAGGTATAGGCTTTTGTAAATAAAAAGAGAAGTTGAGAAATAAAACCTGCAAAAGTGGCTCATCAGTGTCGGAACCAATTTATACGGTTCGTCATAAAGAGAACTACCTACTAATTAAAATATGTATTCTAACAAGGGCTTTAAGTACACTAATTATGCATACAAAATACATTAAATAAGTATGTTTGTCGGTGTGACCGTTGACACTATGTCCAAGGTAATTAGATCCTTACATATACAAAAAATTACGTCAAACTCGTAAAAAATGTTAGCATTTGATTGCAATCATGGTTAATGTCTTAAATAAAAAAAATGTATAGTATTTTTTTTTAATATAAGACACAAAATTGTACTTGTATTTAAAAAAAATTAAGCTACGAGTAATAACCTTAATATCTACGAGTAATATAGGAAAGTGTTAGGCTACAATTGAAAAATAGGCTATATCAATAAATGCTTAAAGTTTAAAGGATACGCCTTCTTATAGAGCGGTGAAACGTTTCAGCGGGTTACCGAAGACAAGTTGAGCGATTTCCCAAGAGCTGTCATTTATACTGACTCTGAATCTAAGCTATTGTCAGGCAGTCAAATAAATATCCCAAGTGCTTGTGAGATTTATAGTAAAATAAAATTGTATTACGAAAAAATAATATTACATGGCCCTTTAAGATATAAATATTAAGCTAAATTAATGTGATTAAAAATTATCTAAGAAGTAATAAATAATTTAGATATAGTGTTTAATTGAAATTTATTTCAAGGGGTAACGATTGACCAAAATTGAATTTCGCCTCATAATAGCTACCCTCGCCTATTTGAAACGCCATCAACGTTTTAACGAAGTCATTTGCAAAATATCAACCTTCGTAATTAAACACATAAAATAATAATCATTGTATCGACGCCTAATGGAAAAGGTTTTGTTGTGACCATAAAATACGATTTTGTATATTTTTAATCTTTACGTAATAATTACGTATAAACATGGCTTTTTTATATATAAAATATTATAATATATAATATATAAAAGAAAATAATATAAAAATCGATGAGGCCTTTAATACGACATGTGTCAGCATTCAATACAGGTAAAATAATAATTGACAAGTCTTCTCCATCTCGAATATAAATGTAATATTTGAAATATGTATGAATACACACAATAACAATTCTTTCTATTTTATCATACATCTACGTAACTTCAATAAGGTTTTCGTTAAAATATTTACATCTATATAAAAAAAATGGACAATTTTTATAAACCGCTATTAGGTACCATATTGCTAACGGTAGAGATGATTATCTCTAATATTGCTTATAATCTCAGGTTCCCAGCGATCTCCATTGCTGAGTAATTTTTCTTTATTATACAATAGCTCTTCATGTGTTTCTGTAGAATACTCGAAGTTAGGACCTTCAACGATCGCATCAACGGGACAAGCTTCTTGGCAATAACCACAAAAGATACACTTAGTTAAATCTATGTCATATCTTGTGGCGCGTCTAGAGCCATCTTGGCGTTCCTCAGCTTCTATAGTAATAGCCTGAGCTGGACAAAATGCCTCGCAAAGCTTACATGCTATGCATCTTTCTTCCCCCGAAGGATATCTTCTAAGAGCATGCTCCCCTCGAAATCTGGGTGATATAGGACCTTTCTCAAATGGATAGTTGATTGTTGCTGGCTCCTTGAATATATGACCGAGAGTTACAGCAAGTCCTGCAATTAGTTGATTTTATTTAAATAATCTATACATATAATAAAATTGTAACTAAGACGAATCTGTACATTAAATATTTTTTGGAAAATCTTATTGATATGGTCATTATTATCGATACAGATGCCGAATCTATAGTTTTTAGAATTTTTGTCTGTCTGTCTGTTACCGCATCACAGAAAAACCACTGGAAGGATTCTGATGAAATTTGGTATGGTGATAACTGGTTATCCAGGTCAACATATAGGATACTTTTTATCGCGAGAAAATATTTCATTTCTGAGAAAAAATACAAAAACTGCAATGTAAGAGTATACTAATATGTAAAACCTAAGAATTTGGTTTTTGGTCATCTGAACGCGGGCGGAACCGTGGGTAATGCTAGTATGTTATATTTATAGCATTAACACCTCCAGGTAAATTTCTAAGAAATTGAAATTAAAAAATAAATTTCTATTGTTAACTGTAACGCCGGCGTGTCCGCGGTCGTGGAGGGATTAATGTAATGCGCTTTTATTATAAAATAGGTTTATGTACATTGTACATATTGTGTGAACCAAAAATATTTTAAATTAAGTTATTCAACGTCTTCGATTATAATCACAACATTATATACAATCATTTACAGATGTCAGTAAATAATATATAAGAATTATAAATCCATAACTTACTTATTAATTAGCACCTTTGCGATATTTTTTATGATTAACAAATAATTAACATCCCGTAAACAAATTTATAAAGGACAACTTAAGTTCGATTCTTCTCTTTTCATATAATTAAAATTCCTTTTTAAAATTATAAAATATATATTGAGACCTCCTTGCATGCAAAATTCTCAATATCGCATAATAAACGTTAGAAATATGTAATAAAGTTCCGGCACCATCAGAACGCGGAGAACGCAGTGAGGTCAATATGATAACCGAGAACTGTCGACCTCCCACGGGAGATAGCATGCAGCAATAAGAAATGCAAGTTATTTAAATAAGTAAAGGCATAACACAAATATTACCTCTTATCAATTCTGTCCAGAAAAGTGTTTGAGCGGTTCTATCTACGAAGTCTTTTAAAGCCGTGCTTGGAGGCTTATCGTTTATATATATGAAATTGACATCATATTTCGTCCTTGGACAACGGTAAAATGGTGGGTACAGGTTGCATGGTGAGGCTTCAGGAGGATATGGAAGTGTAGGAGGAGACTCTATAGTCGGCGGAGTTTCCGGAGGACACTGATTAGAACACCGTCTTATTTGAAGTAGTCCCACAGAAAAGTTTTTACTAAAGCATATATTTTTTAGCATTATTTTGATTTTGTATGAATAAAGATTAAGGTACAAAGATTATTAAGACAGCTTTTTAAAATGATTAATAAGGCTTGTCAACAACTCTATTTGACATATGTATATTATATTCTTCTAATAAATAATAGTGGCTTGTAAAATTACATTAATTCATAGATAATATAATAAACTTTTAAATGAATTAATTAACAAAAATAATAACATTTTCTGTTTATTGTAAACACAAATAGAAGACCAAAACAATACATTGGTATGAAAATGCTCGAGAGGTGGCTATTTCGCTAAAACAGCGATTTCTTCCAGGCAACTTATAGGTGTAGGAAATTACAAAGTGCGAAGTGGATTTGGTGTGAACACGTCATAAAAGACATAATATAAATAAAATCATATAATATACATACATTGTCATACATAAGTTATTTTTATAATAATATCTATACATAAAATAAAATTCTAACTGAGTCGAACCTGTACATTAAATATTTTTTGGAAAATCTTATTGAAATGGACATTATTATCGATACAGAGGCCGAATCTATAGTTTTTAGAACGTATACGTATATAAAAAAATTAGGTATACCTAAATAATAATTCTATTCCTTCAAAAAATATTTCATTTCTTATTATGTTTTATCTCACTTAAAACTTGTTAAAATTACAAGTTAACTCTGCTATATTCACTGAATGGAATAAAATACAGACAGATAAATATTTTTATATTACACCTAGCAATTCGTGGGTGCAATTATATAATGAAATATTCAATTTTATCCTCAAGATCTTCTAAATTATATGTTGCACTCCTAAATTTTATATGTTATTAAAGTTTTACGTGCTTGGTTAGATTTTTGAATAAGGATTTGAAACACTACACATCATAATGCATATTTAATATTATAAATGTGAAAGTGTGTTTGTTTGTCCTTCTTTCATGTCGAAATGGAATGACGGATTGGCGTGATTTTTAGTGTGGAGATAGTTGAAGGGCTGGAAAGTGACATAGGTTACTTTTTAGCGCGGAAGAGTATCTAATTCCCACGGGAAAATACGCTATAATACAATCCAAAAAAATATTTATGATCAGAATTACTTGAAACTTGGTGTTAACGATCTTCAATAAAATCAAATAAATACGTCTTTTAGCATTTTTCGAAATTCATCCTATAAGGGGGTATAATATCGATAAAAGTTGTATGAAACTACCTTTTTAAAGACTTTTTTATAGTTTTAGCGCGAGTGAAGCCGTGGGTTTTGCTAGTGTTTAATAAAAAACAAACACTGTTAAGATCTCGGGTAGTGCCATCTACGCTACAAGCTTTAATAAGCCACAATGTAAAAACAAAACTCATTATTTTACAGTAGGTATACATTCACAATTTGAATAGTTCTATTTCAATATCCTTTCTATCATATCATATCACAGAGTCAGACCAAAATAGTTGTTTGAGAAACGATTTTAGATTTTGCGGTCACAGCCTGTTCAGACATGTCTAATGTCTATCATTTCTATGTCTAACATTTCTATGAAAATGAAATGAAACATTCTCTAAGAGTACTTTAAAAACAGTGCATTTAATAGGATTATAATTATTTACTAATATAATAAATGTGAGAGGGTTGTTTGTTTGTTTCATTATTCTTTTTTCACATAGCAACATAAATGGCTGGCAAAAATAATGTTTGAGCTGGAAAGTTTTGTACTCTTATCACAAGTCATACCTATGAGCGTTAATCCACCAAAATGAAGCTTCTAGATTCTGCACTCCTTCTCTGCCATTATAGAACTATAATTTTACTTATGCTCTGAGCGAAACGAAACAAGGGCTAATTATTAGAAATAAATAGTGCTAAAATGACCAAAAATATCAGTTTATAATTAATATAATATAAACTATTATGTATAAACGACAGATTTTCTCAAATTACTGATCAAAGTTTGGTTTTATCATAAAATATAATGTAAGTACAGTACTCACATACATATAGACCGATGTCGTGAATATGATACGTGTTAGCATTACACACGGACACATACTTATAATAAATTTGTGTTTTATATATTCTCGATCCTTAAAAGATCTTCTTATATAGAGGTACATTGTTCTTATTAAAATATAAGCTATATTAATGAGCGTCTTAAGTGAGTGGAACCAACGCTTTGGCAAGACAGGCAATTTATACTAAATAAGATATCTCAATAATTTTATTCTAACTTCTAATATATCCCTCTCTGATTATGTCACGAAGTCATTTTTGTGTCTGTACGATCATGTATCTTCTGGCCGAGTTGACCCATAAAGTTTTATTTACACCTTATATTTATTTTGTCAGTCCAATAAATATATTTCATTTTAACTGCTTTACTCTAGTTGTCGCCTTAGAGCTTATTGGTCAAACCACCAATTCTTGTTGTATGTAGGTACTTTACAGAACAGATTATTTTTCTTCTATTTTAAAAACAAGCCTTATTTCTTAAATTTAAAATGAATATCCTACTAATATTGTAAACTGCGAAAGTTCATGAGGATGTAGGATATCTGGATGTTTGTTACTCTTTCACGCCAAAACTACTGAATGGATTTTAAAGAAGCTTTACAATGATATAACTCATACATTCGATTATCATATTAGCTACTTGTTATCTCGGATAAATGTATGATTCCCGTGGGATAGATTTGTTTTTGTTTGTCTAGAGGCGAGCTCTAACGAAACGACGCGAGGGTGAGCCGATAGTACATTATGGTGATCAAATACATGTTACCTGCTTTTTTAAAGTAAAATGTATATTTTATATGTATACCCATAGAATTAACGTTTGAAAGTCAATGATGATGTTTTAAAAAACGATCTGTGAATTGGTCGTTTGGTCAAATAAGCACTGAGACGACGTTTGATTACTGTACTGTTGTCCTGGGTTGTATGCTGGATCGGTTCATGTGCAGTTATAAGGTTTTTCTGTTAAGATATTTTGAGAACAGGGTAGTTGGCGTTACTTTACTTCCGTGTCTAAGAAAGCACATAAAGCAAAGTCCTGCATCTGATGTCTCGCCAATTATATCGAACTATCGCCCCACCGGAGTTTGAGAGTGCAAGGAATTATGAGAGTATATTTTTAAATAAAACTATCTTTTCGGATTATTTCGTTATATTTTGATTTTTTGTTCCCGACGTTTCGAATGCTTTACAGCAATCATGGTCACGGGAGAGACTAAAGTTATAGACGTCTCAAACATATATACTTATTACAGTTATATTTTTGTTTACGCGAATACTTATACCGAAATTGTTCAAAAGATCATTGTCATTATAATATATTAATGGATAAAAATAACTCATATTTTTCTATAAAATATACTTACTCAACAGAACATACTTGCAAATTTACTAAAAATAGAGGTTTGCATGATCTAGGTCCAAAATCGCACTGAAGCCGAGCTATTAGTTTTTTTATTATTAAGTAAACCACCAACTAACCATAGACCCCCCGCCCCCCCTCTAAAATGTTTCCAAGACGAGACCATATGGTTCGCTCTGTCAAAAAGTTATCAGATCTCATAAGTCTACAAGCCCTAACTTCACAAACTCTGCACATTATTCGAAATATGTGGCTTGGCCGTATTTAGCTACAAGAACTATTGTATAACAGAAAAGTAATGCACATTGCACAGTGAATAAATTTTTCACCTTACGCCCATGTAACGGTAGCGAAACGGCCAAGCCACATATTTTAAATAAAGTGTAAAGCTTGTGAAGTTTGGGCGTGTAGAGTTAGATAACTTTTTGACATTTTACATGAAAATGTTTTTGATGGGATTTTATTTATCTGTATAGATAACTAGCGACTCACCCTCGCTTCGTTCGGGTTCGTCCCTAGCTTGATTCCACATACAAACTTTCATCCCCATTTTCACCCCCTTAATGGATGATTTCCGGGATAAAAACTATCCTATGTCATTCCCAGGGTTTCAAACTATCTTCATACCATATTTCAACGTCACTAAGTCACAATCTCACAAACTCACAAACTTTACCACTTTATAATATTAGTATATATTATAATCGACCACTAACGAAAACTAACATTATTTATTGTAGTTCTCTTGTTAAATATATAATTAATTCACATAGTCACATTGTGTACACAGTTTATGCAATATGTAACATAAGCGTATGCAAGGCGCTGGGAGTAATTTGTCGATAGATTAAACTGATGTCACACGGATGTCAGCTGCTACTATATAGCGTAATACAATGTTTTAAAGTAAACAACGTAACTCAGTCTATTTAATCAACCACAGTATAATATATTTCGGACATAAAAATTTCTAAAGTACATTAGTATATTGTTATGTATGATTCGTATTATTATTATATAGGGGAAATCCGAACAAAATCATATACCGGAATAAAACATGACAGCATATTTAATTCGCTTTATAATTTAAAATTTCCGCTTAGAAGTAGCTTAGCAGCTTCCACCAATGAGAAATATTCGTCAACAAGTACTTGTAACAGCTGCAAGTATGCGCGTTTTCAAAATCTTTAATTTAAAAAAAATAATACTGGCAAATTTAATTGCCTTAAATATACTTAGTATAGTATATTTAGTAGGTACTAGCAGCTCGCCCTCCCATCGCTGGGCTTCTTCTTTAGAAAAACTAAAACAAATCTATCTTTGTGCCAAATTTCATCTAGATCCGTTCAGCCGTTCTGGCGTGATTGAGTAACAAACATCCAAACATCTAAACTTTCACATTTATAATATTAGTAAGATTAATAGTGATATTATATTTAAAAACCTGGGCCAACACCGTAAGGGGTAAAAACTGATTTTAACCGGAAGTAAGGATATAGACTAAATATATATTTTGTTAAAAATAAAGGTACCGCGCCTCCGTAACAAAATTTGTACACAAAAGCCATGCGCACATATTTTTACAACTTTTAACGAGTTTTACAACAGATTGTATAACACCTCCCACAAACAAAGAAATAAAATC